CAAGGGCCCATCTGGTCCAGCATCCTGTTCTCACAGTGGCCAACCAGATGCCTGTGGGAAGTCGCAAGCAGGATCCGAGTGCAAGAGCACTTATCTTAACTTAAAGAAAGCAAAAGAGATGATTGTGGACTTTAGGAAATGTAAATTGAATATTCAGCCACTCATTATTGAGGGGAAGTGCGTGGAACAGGTCTCGGTCTTTCTGGGAATGGAGTTGAGAGATGACCAAACCTGGGGAGAAAACAGTAAAGACCTGATGAAGAGCAGAGTTTATATTTTCTGAGAATCCTCCGGAAAAATAATCTCTCAAAGGACCTGTTGATGGCATTTTACCATTGTACTGTGGAGAGTGTATTAACTTATGGTCTGTGTGTGTGGTTTGAGAGCTGCACGGTCAGGGGAAAAACAATGCTGTCCAGGGTTGTAAAGACTGCGGAGAGAATAATTGGGTGCACTCTTCCCACCTTGGATCAAATCTACGCTTCCAGGTGTCATAAGAAAGCTGCAGAGATAGCACAGGATAGTGCGTACCCTGGAAATGATCTCCTTCAGCTTCTGCCTTCTGGAAAAAGGTCCAGGGTCATAAAGACTAGGACTAGCTGCCTGAGAAACAGTTTCTATCCAAATGTGATTTTGGTTTTACACGCAGTGTAAGGTAGTCTCTGTGGGAGTATATTGTATTTAATTGTGGGGTATCAGAGTTTTTAGGGGGTTAACCAGGCTGGGATAGCTGGGATAGCAGGCTTGTTGGTTTTTGAATGTCTGGTGTAGATTTTTTCAGTGACAATGACAATAAAGATTATCGTATTGTATCGTATCTTTCTCTGACACGCTCTCCATGCTCACGCTCCTAGTCCTCATGACAAGGCTTTTATTAGAAAAGAATAATAATAATACGTGGCAATACCTTGCATGTTTTTATTTTCTCGCTTCCTTCTTGTTTTGCTGACATTGCCACCAAACTCTCCTTTTGCAGATGGGCTGTGTTTACTTGCATTTCACTCTCTCACAATACAATGTTTGTCTGGCCCTGCCTGAACTTCAAATGTGTTTGCTTTTCTGCATAAACTGAGAGCTACCTGGAAATGCCTGCCCTTTGCTCTCTCCTGCCTGATATGTTCATTTTGGTCCATGGAAAGCCAAACCCTTTCTCCCAGGCACGACAAACAAGCACGTGGGGAAAATAGCGCCCCTTGCCCCAACCTAACAGATGGGAAAGAGAGCTCTATGGAGCAGTGGATTGGAAATGCTGGGCTGGAGTAGAGTTCGAATCCTACTCAGTTGCCCTGAAGGCAGCCCTGTTTAGGAAAGTTTTTAATGACTGATGTTTTAATGTATTTTAAATATTTTGTTGGAAGCTGCCTATTATTATTACAGTCATACCTCATGTTATGTTTGCTTCATGTTACGTTCTTTCAGGTTACATCCCACAGAGACCCGGAAGTACCGGAAAGGGTTACTTCTGGGTTTCACCGCTCGTGCATGCGCAGACGCACAAAATGACGTCATGTGCATGCGCAGAAGCGGCGAATTGCAACCCGCGCATACGCAGATGCACTGTTACGGGTTGCGCTCTTTTCCTGTTGTGAACAGGCCTCTGGAACGGATCCATTCGTAACCAGAGGTACCACTGTGTTGTTATTATTATTATTATTATTATTATTATTATTATTATTATTGCTTCAGACGAGCCCGGGACCGGTTCAAAACATTTCGCCGCCCGAGGCCATGGAGAAGTCAACACTTTGCATAAAGAAGTCAACTGAATTGGCAGTCGGATCTCAGTGAGCGATGAATGGATCCATCCATTTTAGTCCCAGTCATTTTCTCATCTTTCCAACCTTAAATCAGTTTGCCTAATTTCTGCAATAAGATAACGACAAAGCACACACTTGAAAAACTGCATGGATTTCCCGCCACATTTCTACTATTATACACATTTCTACAATTCTGCACAACTCATTCATTTTTGCTTGCAGTTTCCCTTTTATAGGATGCCTTCTGGGAGCAGACAGGCAAATCCAAAAACTTCAGGTCAGCCCTGGAGTCAGGGATGGTGCGATCCAGCAACCCTACCTGAGGCACCCACCTCACTCTGCCAAACTGTAGGTATGGCCTTGTTCAAGCCAGCAGCACCAGGCCTAGCAAGGAGACATTTTCTGTGTGGCAGATCATGGCTGGCAGGAACAAGTGTACACGGAGCGGTATACATGGAACAGTGCCAAGATTTAGGACGGGAACAGCTGGTGGCCTCTCCGCTCGGCCCTCAACGGTAGGGGTGTCTTTCCTCCTGAACTGCTGCCCATGGCCTATATTTCGCGGCAATGTGTGCAGGGCGGGGGGCTGTCTCCGGTTACCGTTGACATTTTCTTCCTAATCCCGGCCTCTTTTAAAGCCCGCAAGAGGTGTGAGAATGGTGCTGTCTCGCTGAGTACAGCGGCAGGACATGTTAATGCTTCTCACCCCAGAAAGGCAGATGAACGCCTGGCCTTTCGCCTCCCCTCCCTCCCCTCAGAGATCTTCAAACACACAATGTTCTGCAGGACTGGCGTCCCAGATGGCTAACTAGGTGACGATAATTCGAACCGAGGCCCGGCTGGGAACATCCAGTGCATCACTTTGTAACCAAGAGGAGGGAGAGGCTGGGCTTTGGTGGAAGGCGTTGAGGAACGCAGAACAAAAGCAGAGGCTCAAAGAAACCCATCTGGATCCATGTGAAGCCTCAGCCACAGGGCTGGGTACCAGCCCATGCCCTCGGCGCCATCACGTGCCACATGCTGTCGGCCGGCTCATCTCAGCATCATATTCCATTAACATCAACAAGGCTTCCTCTTTTTACATTGTTGTTTTGGTTCCCCATATTTTCAATGGGTGACCTCCTCCCCAAGCTCAGCTCATGTCTTTCATATATATATATATATATATATATATATATATATATATTCATTTTTTAACATATAGGTTAAAAAATCATTTACCATAACTTCTTATCTTATACAATGTTTTAGACTTCCGTCAACAACCTCTGAAGATTTTCTGTTCTTTATCCCTTGTTCTGCATTTCTTAATTTCTCTATTAGTTTTAATTGTCCTTAACTAATAATTCTTCTCAAAGTCTTCCTTGCAATAGTTCACAAAGTCCTCCTTACAGAACTTCTTGCAGTCCTACTAATGTAATCTGCTGATCACAATTGCTTTTCAAATAATTCAAATATTTGCTCCAGTCCTGTGCATGTGCAGACATAGCACTGCAGGTTGCAAATGTGCGTCCTGCACAGATCATGTTCGCAACCTGAGCATCCACTGTATTATCATCATCATCATCACCACCACCATCACTGTAACACCAGCTTTGTGGCTTCCAAAGGCATCTGTTTGACTGATGCTGCAGTCAATGGACCAGCGCTCTGAAGAGTGCAGAGTCCACACTTCTTCCCTGACGCCTTATGTACCTCTTTCCACTCCATTGCAAGCAGTGTGCTCTGCAATCTTTCCCCCCTTGCTTCTAATCCCACAAAGCTCTGCAGGTGGATCCTGATGTTTGTTTAAGATGGCACATGATAACCTCTCCATCACTATCTGATAAATGGTGGCATACTGCTCACCTGACTGGAGAAAGCCACACACTTTTGCTGCATGTGAATCTAGCCGGTGTGGGGCTCAGGAAGCTGTGAGCACAACTAAGGCAGGGAGCATCTTCGAGGCTGTTTGAATGGTGGATCGGCATGTATTTTACATCAGGGCAGGGAATCTGTGGCCAGATGATACCCGAATATATAGAGTTTTTGCACATATTACTTGGCCTTATGCTGATGGGAGCAGCGGTGGTTTTAGGGTAGCGCAACCAATGCAGCTGCACAACAACATGGTGGAACGAAGTGTGAGAGGTGGGGGGAGGCGAATTTTAGCATCGCACAGGGTGCCACTGAAAATTGAGAGCCCAAGGTCTGCCACTGGCTGCAGAAACGCACTGCAAAATTCTGAGAAGTGCAAATTTGGAAGTCTGCATTCCAGTTCTCGCATAATGTCAGTTTATATCCTTTAACTGTGAGCTGAATTGAATTTCTCCCCTCTCAACCTTTCAAGCGCCATCTTCCCTTCCTGTTTCTTCTTTTGATAATTTGAAGTTGCTTTTCCTCATCAGCACGGAAGGAAACGAAGTTGGTCGCGGGTTCTCCCTGCTGCGGAATTCAGATCAGATTGAAAAACGCTCCTTCTTGGTGCCAGCTTAGAGTCTGTGCATCTTTCACTCTGAGAGCGTTTACCAAGCAACCAGATAAGAATAATCTCTCACCGCTTGCCCCACGAGTGCTTTTATTTACTCTCATTTTCTCAGAACAGCAAGGGATGGGTGAGGAGGCCTCTTCCGCCATTGAGTGGCGGTTCTGCCTTGTGATTAACAGAGACAGGTATGAACCGGCTCCAGCCAACACAGCCCCAATTAATCTCGACCCACGAGGCAGCGGTCCAAAATAATTATCCCTTGAATAAATAGCAACAGAGCAGAGACCGAAGGCCTGGCCTGCGGCAGGATCGCAGAGATCTCCATCAACGCTCCATTCGTAAGTGTCGTTGTGATACACAATGAAGTCCCCAAAGGATTGGTTGCAAAGCTCAAGGAAATGACCCCACCGGTATCAGAAGCTTGAAATTGAGAAGGGAAAGCTAGCGATGGAAGATGCGTGAAACTGTGAGAGCGTTAGGCTGAAGGAAGGCTTGGATGAAATCTTTAGCCAGGGTTCAAGCCTAGAAACGTGTATTTTAATATTTTGCTAGAAGCCGCCCAGAGTGGCTGGGGAAACCCTGCCAGATGGGCAGGGTATAAATAATATATTATTATTATTATTATTATTATTATTATTATTATTATTATTAAACTGGTGGGGTTTTTTATGAAGAGCCTGCTGGATCAAACAGAAAAACTCCATCTGGTCCAGCATGGAGTAGTGGCCAGATGGCTCCAGGAAGCCAAAGAACTGGGCACAGACAACAATCCTACAGCCTGGATAGCTCAGTTGGTTAGAGCATAATGGGGATAATGCCAAGGTTGCAGGTTCAATCCCCGTGTGGGCCAGTTGCGTATTCCTGCATTGCAGCGGGTTGGACTATTAGGGTCCCTTCCAGCTCTACGATTCTTTGATGACTGACTTAGGTTTAATACTATCAATACTTTCAGTCCCAACCAGAGAGGAATGGCAGATTAAGTTGATGGATTATGCTGAACTGGTAAAAATGACCGGAAGAATCAGAAATCAGGAAGACCAAAATTTTAATAAAGAATGGGCAAAATTTATAATTTATCTTAAAAACCATTGTAAACATGTAACATTGTTAGTAGGATTGGAATAACACTTGTAGTTTAATGGTGAATTGTGGACACAATGGAGAAGTAAAAGATTTGAATTATTATAAAAGATGCAGGAGGAAATGATTAACAATAGGATCCATAAAGGGCAGGAGGGAAGTCCAGGAGATTCTATGGAATCTTTTCTTTATGTTGTATGTTGAAAATGTGATTGTAAAACTGTAATTTGAAAAACCAAATGAATTTAATAAAAAAATAAAATTCTATCAATACTTTCAGCAGGGCTCAGTTGAAACCAACCCAATTTGATTCGGAAAATGCAGAGTACTGAACTTAAGACTGGTTAGAACCTGAAATTGCCAGATTCACCCACCTAGCAATTGCTGACCCTACTCCTGTCGTCGTGCCTCCAAGATGGCACGTATTGCATGTGGATTCCTGAGCAAGGCCGGCCCTACCATTAGGCAGCGCAAGGCAACTGCCTCAGGCGGCAGATATCCAGGGACAGCACTTCCTATACTCCTTCTGAGCACCTACCATACATTGCTGTCTGTTCCCACATGGCCTCTCGCAGCCTGGCCTGCTGTCTCGTGTGTGGTGGAGATAGCTACCTCATCATCAACGTCGAAGGAAGATTAATTTGCCAGTGTGGTTGGGCTCTGTAAGTGGAATTGGGAAAAGATGCCACCTATGCCTCGGGTGGCAAAATGCCTTGAACCGAGAGCAACTGCTGGAGGTTGCAACCACCTTGGAAAAGGCCTGCTGTCAATGTGATGAGCTGATTGACAGACGGTGTGCTTCTCCCTGGATTCAAGTGGACTGCAACCCTTGTGGTGGGTGTGGAGACGTTGCCAGACAGATCTGCCCCGATTCTTAGAAATTTCCCGAGCGATCCATGACGACATTAACGTTTCTTTAGAAATGGGGAGCAAAGGGCGTTTAATCTTCCGCAACAAACGCTGCCAAGAAGCCAAAGGTGGCAGCTTGGGAACAGAGGTGTTGTGTTGTTGTTTTTGAATATAAAAAAAGCAGAACAAGACTCGCTGCAAGCACAACCAATATTCTAAACTTCTCATTTTGTAAGAAGAGACAGCCAGCAAAATCCGAGCCTCTGACTGCAAAGAACAGGACAGACCTGGAATCTGTTGTTGTTTAACACCTCCTTTCATCACTGGCTTAGCAGATTTATGGATTATGCAAGGGGAGAGTATAAAGGAGTAGCTGTTGACATTAGTGTCAAGCAAAGTTGGGGGGGCGGGGAGGAGGGCTCTGCAAGGTGAAATCTGCAGGCCAAGCTGGTGGGACAGAGTTTGGGTGGGTGCTGAGCAGCAACAAGGTTGGAACCCCCTGCTGGGAGCACCCAATTGGCTCAATCGTAGCATCTGTGCAATTTTGACATGCCACCCCAGGGCCATCTAAACTGCAGTAACCCTGGTGTTGAGAGGGCGGGCTTTGGGGCTCTGTCTCACACCATTAAGGGTGTCAGAGCAGGAGACAGACAGATATATCGTTGAGGACTAGAACCATTATTCACTCAGATATTTCTAAAGGTATCAGACTAGGGGCTGATCTCTGAGGTCTGCAAATGCCAACAGCTCACACAAAAATGCAGAACCATACCATGACAGTGATTTTACCAGGGAGGTGCAGGACCTAGCAAATAAGGACAACTGGAGTGCATGGAAGCAGCTGCCTTCTTCTGGAAAAAAACCCTCAATTTGCCCTTCGACAAGCGAGAGCTAATTTAGACCCATTAACTATAAGCCAAACCGGTGAAACCTGACATACGTTATCTGAATAATGCAATGCATCTTTCCCTTCTCAGTTGTTAGGGGGACTAGTGCCCCTCGCCAACATGAAGCAAGTTGAGAGGCTGAGGCTGTTGGGGGGGGGGGATATCTAAATATACTGTCCTTTGAAAGAAGTCGTGAACAAGGCTGATGGAAAAGCAATAGGGAACATAGCATACGATGCGTCTGGCAGAACAAGGAACACACACAGATAATCCTGGACTTCTGTATTTTATTTTTTCAAACGTGGGTATTTAGCACGCAGCACCTTGAGGTCCAACTGCTGTGGACAAAGTGGGGGGAAACAGGGTAACGCTACCAAGATATAAAGCCCAAATTTGACATGGGCTTCCATGCTATAGCTTGCTTAATATAGCATGGAGAAGGGCCATAGCTCACTGGTCCAGTGTGACAGAAAAGTTTGTTTACTGAGCAGGTTGAATTACTGAGTGTTTTTCCCCCTTGCCAGCAAACAGTTAACTAGCAACAGTTCCTGGTCAGAAGTCTGATCTATGGAAGATGTGTAAAAGGAAGTAACCTTAAGCCTGAACAGTATACAAACTATAACTTAAGACAGGTATACATTTTAATAAAAAGCAACAGCACTGTTTGTTATATGTCTGTGGAAGAAGAAGAAGAACCAAAACTCCTTGTTTACACCCGTTATAATAAAGTTTGTTTGCAACCTGTTTTCCCAAAAGGAAAGCCCATTCTCCATTGGGGATTTTACCCGAGGGAAAGGGAAACAGAGGCATGGCGCAGCGAGAGAGAGGGCTGTTTTGCCGCTGTATACAGCATCTGACAGAAGGTCAATTCCTGGCAACTCCATGTAGTGTTGGAACAGACTCTTTCCTGCAACCCTGGACAGCTGCTGCCAGTCAGGGCAAACAGTATTGAGCAAAATGGCCCACTGGCCTGACTCTGTATAAGGCAGCCTCCTGAGCTCCTGTCTCCTTTTGGTATTTTGTGAGTATAGTTCGGGTGACTGGAGCTGGTTCAGAAAGGTAAAATGTATGGGGCACAGAAGGTTAGGGCAGCAGTGGAAGGAATTTGGATAAGCCCCAGAAGCCGATACTGGGGATTGTCTGGGAGATCTTGGAAACAATGGGAGAGCAGTGGGATGACATATTTTCATGGCAGGCTGATGGAAAGTGGTAGAGCCATAAATGAACACCAGTAAGGTGAGAAAAGAAAGGGAAAGGAATTTATAGCACCAACTGTACACACAGCAAAAAAGGCACCAGATTCCTCATATTGATAAGGGCACCCGATAGCTTTTCCATCCCTTGATCTCCAAAAGGCTTCCAGTCTCTATCATCTTTTCCGCCTGGCCTGAAAATATGGGCAGTGGTGTTTGAGAGTCAGAGGAGGGACACATCTCTGCAGGAAAGCCCTGCTAGGGAAACCAGTTTAAGCATGCCATCATCAATGTGACCTCAGCTGCGGTAAATGTCATCAAAAACATTTCAACTTTTCCCAAACCAAAGGGGCAATCGGCTTTGTATTTTGGGCAAGTGCTCAGAGAAGATTTGTGATGCTTATGTCATGTTACTTGTCATATTGTGGCTCCCACTGCCCCTTTGACATCCCCAAAGGGATTTGATCTGGGTGTGGCTGGAGCGAGACTCGCAAGAGCCCAAAGATAATACTTCTGAGGCTTAATCTTGGAAAAGCTGCTCGCGTATTTCAGACCTAAATTCTAACTGCGTGATGTCAGAGCAGGTCAGCCAATGACATCGAGGGCAGAAAGAGAGGGCAAGGAGTCTGCTGCAAGAATCAAAAGACCTCACAGGGCAAAAAAGTTGAGTGCGCAACACGTCCTAAATAAGTAATGTGCAAATGTGCACAACCAGAACAGCCAGGTAGAGAACTGAAATACTCGTGAAGCAGCGTCATGTGATGCAGCTTGGGCAGGAAGTACCACTTCAGACTGCAGGAAGGGAGAAATGCTTCTTTAACATTTGTCACATTTAAAAACAACAACAGCAAGAACCTCCCTGCACAGAATTCTAGCTTATCAGGAAGAATGTTTAGCTGAGTCTTTCCCCTGACATGCCTGTTTTCTGTGGGGAGAGGGGCTTGACTCTCCGCGCTCAAAACATGTCAGTTCTCCAGCTGCAGTGTGGTATGGTTCAGCCCAGCAAAAGGCACACCATATACCGTATTTTTTGCACCATAACACTCACTTTTTTCCTCCTAGAAAGTAAGGGGAAATGTCTGTGCGTGTTATGGAGGGAATGCCTACGGGTGGCATGCCTACGGATTTTCCTCCTCTAAAAACTACGTGCGTGTTATGGTCGGGCGCGTGTTATAGAGCGAAAAATACGGTAACTGTTCTGATCGTGTGGTTCAGCTGCGAGCTCTGGGGCGCCCCACGAAAAAACACCTGCCGAGCTTCCGAGTGTGATGCTCTGGCTGAAAAGCTCCGCGAGAAGAGGGGTATAGCAGAAAAATGACCTCGAAACGTTTGCGTCGACATGGGAAGACGGCATGAGAAATTGCGGCGCTGGGCGTTCCCGCGCAGGGAATGAGCTCCAAACCCCGCTTCCCTTTCCAAAAGGTTAACGCCATCTCCTCTATGCCAGCAGGGGCAAAGCTCTCGTGTGCGTTCAACGGGCCTGTGCAATTATGGCTTCTCTCCCCCCCCCAAAGAGGAATGCACATTAATCATCTTTTGGGGATGTGTGGTTACATAAAATAATCAGGCCTCCTGCCTGTTCCACTTTTCTCGACGCTCTCCGGTATATAATCAACGCATTCAGACTTGGCACACTTAATGGAAGCTGCTGAAAGGCAGGGGTGGGGCAGGGGTCTTCGTCAAAAGCCCCCTCCCCGCCTGGGGCTGGGGAGAGGCTTTGTGAAGGATTGGGGGGGGGGTCCTTCCACAACCACTCCCTCCCAACTCCATCTTGAAAGGAGGCTTCTGAAGAGTCTGTGGAAAGCATGATTAGAAGTCAGGCTGTACTTTTCACACCCCG